AAACGGACCATCTCTGGTACCACAGGACCCCTAGTATCCTCAACATTCCCTAGTAAGAAGCAGAATATTTGATCTTCCCCTTTAGTTTTCAAATGGATGAAGGTCTGAGGAATGCACTTCCTGTTCCATGATGTAAATGTTGCTCAGCTGAATAAAAAGTCTGTCATATTAACAAGAAATTCAGTGCTGTTCTTTAAAGCACCATTTATTAAGTCTTGCAGGGGAGAAGATTCAGTCTCACCAACGTTCCTGCCTGTTCCGGTCACAGAGGATCCCACTGACTACTAAAGGACAGGGAGACATTCTCTCAGACAAAAGGAAATAGCCTCGACTCTGAAGAAATCTAGCCTCAAACATCTAAAACTGGAAAACAGCATCTGAGGCGTCAGTAGAATAATAAACACATGCAGCCTTGTTTAGCAGGTGCTTTGCTGAAGCAAATAATATATTAAACGGAGGCCTTACAGGAATAGAGTGCCAAATATTTTCCTAACCCAGGTGTTAGAGGTCTCAGGCAAACCCATGATCCTATGGGCATACACTTCACAGTATGAGAACCAGAGACTGTCTGGTTCCCGTGGGATGGGAGTCAGTATTAGTAACGATCACGTGATTGGGACGGTACAGGATTAAACATTAACGGGAGCAAACCAATAGTAACTAAAAAAAATGAATGCATTTTGTGGGGTTTCCTGCTAAGGACTTTACCCGGTTGTGTTCTGATCCTCCTGGGATGCAGAGGGAAGTTTAGACCTACCTGGGTCTCTCTGGAGTATCAGTTTTATTTTAGTTTGGCTCATATTAAAGCCATTTAGATCGTTTCAGCTGAGAAACATGTTGTTTTTTTTTGCCTTCTGCTGCCCAGCAGCAGCTTCCACTGCATCGCCTACCGATGCCCGTCAGAGATCTTAGCTTCTGTCAGTGAGCCAACAGGCAGCTGCGTCCCACCATCAGCGTTTAGGGTCAACGTCAAGAGTTACACATGTCCAGGTCATTTAGCATGTACTGATTAATGACAGAGGACTGCTGAACCACATGAACTCATTAGCACTTAAAATATTTAAAAAGAGGAAAAACTCATTTATTCAAAAGGCAAAGACACAAAGTGTAACAAATAAATATTTATTGATTCATAGTTATTGGAAAAACAATCAATCTATTTCTAGTATAGAAAACAGACATTCTGCACGTCCAGAGAGAAGGACAAAGAAAAGGACTCCACACCACAGACACCTAACCCCTCACCACCCGCCGAGTCATCCAACATAAACATGCACCGACCTAAACACCTTTAGGGAGGAAATCAGATGGTTTCGTCCAAATTGTCTTTCCATAGAAAATCTCTTGGACCAATCAGTAAAAGGAGAATGGAAACAGGTAACCTTAAAGCGGAGAAAGAAAACGCCTGCAGGGAGGAATCTGAAGGAGAAATCAAAGGTTTATACCTTTATTTAATGTTCTACACTGGAGAGAAACAGGAAGTCATTTTAATCTAAATGTTAATGGAATCAAATCACTGCCGGTGCAGCGACACTTAAACCAATTTAAATTAATATCAGATAAAAAGTGCCACTACCTGCTGATGGAGAAAATGCAATAATACATTTGCCCTCATTCAATTCTATTCAGTTTATTTCTCTAACTCAAATTCATAAGCATGCTTGTAGCGACAGTGGAGAGGAAAAACTCCCTTTGAACAGGAAGAAACCTCCAGCAGAACCAGGCTCAGTGTGAGGACTGGGACATTAAGTTCTAAAAACTTCAAAAAAAAGTACAGCTAACTGAAACATAATAATTATGCAGTATTTAAAACTGTTAAGTTTGTTTACGTACTTTTCTTCAGGTAATCAGTTTCCTCATTTTTTTTAAGTAAACTCAACTTGTTAGAATTTACAGTGATCAGAATAATCTAACATCATGAAGAAGAAGCACCAGAGCACAACAAAAAGTACAGGTTTAAAATAGCTTTAAAAGACATCTTTCATTTCTCAAATTCAGGTTCTGTCGGGCGTAAACAAAAGTCAAAAAATATTTGTTGGTGATAATCAAGTAATCAGACCCTGATTGGCACCATGTTACATAAAGGCAGCAGCTTTGAGCTCAAGGCCAGTCTGGCTCAGTGTTTTATGGTAAAAACCTTTATTTGTTGTTGATCGCACAAGAAAGAAATTCATTTAAGTGTTAAGACTTCACTATGGTAGGAAAAAAGTTGACCATCTATTCCTGAATCCTCTTCAGAATGTGAGCTATTATTCTGTCTTTATTGCCTAAATGTATTAGCTCAAACCCAACACTGAAAGGTAAAGCAAGTGGCTCAAAGTGAGCCTTATTTAGCTGACAGCAACTCTACCTTAGGCTGAAAGTTACATAATATTCATCTGTTTGTGGGAACTAAATGTATAATGATACGTGAAACCCTCCCAGTTCTTCACGTGAAAAACTCTAGAATAGTTGGAGTGGAATTACTTCATACCAGGAGACCTGAGGAATATGATTATTTCCAGTTAGTTTTTTTTTATTAGCACTAACCAGTTGATTGCATCGACTCATTGACTCTTCAGCAATCATTTTCATTTTCATCAGAACTCTGGCTGCAGCATTTTGGATCAGCTGAAGGCTT